TGGTACTGACTTTGGATTTCTTATGAAGAATGAAAGATCATTACAAGTAACAAACTAAACCTAATTCATTGAATTCATGTAGTGATTAGTTATGAAGCTATATTAAGAATCTTCTTGAGATTTGGTTGTGGAAATATTTCACTTTCTTTCCCCGAAAATGTTTAAAACATTTTCAAATAATTATTATGCAAAGAATTAACTTAATCTTATCTAGTCAATTTGTTAGTACAAAACAATCAAAATAGTGTTTCAAAATGGGATAAGTTAGTATTTTAAAATATTCAGCATAAAACAACTACAATTAAAGGGATGGCTGACTCATGCCACAGGATCAAGGACATGAAAATGACTAGTGGTTTTTGTTTGTCTGTTCATTTTTTGTTTTCAAGACAAGACCCTTAAAGTCAGTGGACATTATAAACTTTGGGATTTTAAGACAGCTAGGGTATCTAATGCTGGCTTAATCATTCAATAATTTCATTTGTGTTACTGTGGTGATATTTTTGTTTGTGATCTAACAAATAAAGCTTGCCTGAAGATCAGAGTGCAGAGCTAAGCCACTAGTTAGCCATAGAGGCCAGGCAGTGGTGTCAAACACCTTTAATCCCAGTACTTGGAAAGCAGAGGCAGATGGATCTCTGCAAGTTCAAGGCCACCCTGGGCTACCCAAGACTGATCCAGTCTAAAAGAGAAACAGAGCCAAGCAGTGGTGGCACACACCTTTGATTCCCACACGTGGGATCTCACGCCTTTAATCTCAGCACTAGGGAGGTGGAGGCAGGAGGTGATATGACTGGGTGGAGAGAGGAATATAAGGCAGGTGGAGACAGGAGTTCGTGCTCTTTCAGGCTGAGGATTTGGTGGAGGTAAGAACTCTAGTGGCTGGCTGCTCTGCTTCTCTGATTTTTCAGCATTTACTCTGATATCTGGTTCTTGTTTTTATTAAGATTTGTGCTACATGTTACTATAAAATTAAATACATATTTTTATAAAGAGCAATTTATTGGTATAATAGTCAATAAGTATGCCTCAGGTTATCTTCTGTATCTCCTTATAATTCATGGCATTTCCCTCATATTAAATGATGGACTAGCATGGTGGCACATACTTACAATCCACACAAGAGGAATGTACTGGCTGGGGCGTCAGGAGTTCCAGGCAAGCCTGGGCTCCATTGTAGCCAGACCTATTTAGGAGGATTTAGAGGGAGGAAAAGGGAAATAATGTAATTATATTAAAATCTCAAAAAATAAAATAAAAAATTAATAAAGAAGGTTGTTGCAGTAGAAAGGATTACTTCTTCCCTGAGACATACAAAGCAGAGTGGTTTGCTTTTAGAATCACCCAGAAGAAATTAACAGTTTTACTGTGACTGCAAGTATTGCTATAGGTGAGGTTGAGGCTAGCTAAGAGATTTTTATCAAATGGCAGTTTTGTGGTTTCTTCCGGGATTTATCATCTATGCATCTTGTTATCTTTCCATTCATTCAGAACCTTAAACAAAGGATGTGACTAAAATACATCTCTCTCTCTCTCTCTCTCTCTCTCTCTCTCTCTCTCTCTCTCTCTCTCTCTCACACACACACACACACACACACACACGAGTCAAAACTTAGGTCTTGAAAGTTTTCAGAATTGTCATCAAATACTTAGCTTACCAATATTCTTAGATATGATAATTAAAGAACTATCAACAAAGGGAAAAAAATCTTTTCTTTATATAGTAATCCATTTTGTATATAATAGTAGTGAGAAATCAATACTTTAATCCTAGGCAGGGATATTAATGGTTTGAATCTTTCTACTTATTCTTTTGGAAGCCAACCTTATATGTATTAAGAACCTTGTAAATATTCAGACTCTGAAATAGAAATACATCTAGCCATAGGTAATAATAAGGAAAATAACAGTTTGAAACAAAATTAAAGAGTGGAGGAATCTTTACAATGTGACATTAAGGATATAAAACACCAAAGATTAAAGTTCTGTTATGTAAAATGAAGCTTTATTCTAAACATGTAAGAAATGGAAGAAATTATTAATTGTAGGGGCCACAGATATTTCTAGTCTCAAGAGCATAGCCAATTTGGAAATGTGCTGTGGCAGACACAAATCAACCAAATAATTAGGGTTATATTAAACCCTAAACTGTGTTTTTTTTTTAAATTTTAAACATTGTATTCTTTGGGATACTTACTTGAGATGTTAACCTTTATTTGTAACCTTACACATATTCTCCACGTTAATGAGAGTTCCATGTAGATGATTTAAACATGTACTACTCTGCAAACTGGTAGTCACCTTCTTTGTCACACCAGAATGAACAATGCACCACAACAGCTGTCTGTGTATAGGTCTGCTTTTTGTAGGCATTCAGAAACCATATCTTACATATCAACCTTTGGGAAACACGGACAGGCTTACCATTCATTCATGTTACAGCGTGCAGTGGTACTTTATTACTTTATAATGCAGGGCTGTAAATAACGATGTACATCCTAGCCAGTAGATGGATCTCTCTAGTGTTTCCACTGTAAGACAATTATGAATAATGCTTCTAGTGATACTTCTGTACATGGCTTTGTAGTGACATGTACTTTTAATTCTCTTGGGCAGATTATTAAGAGTGGAGTTTCTGGACCATATGGTAAGAAGTCCTTATAATTACGTAGGATATTGCCTTACTTATATCATAATCGTAGCTCAGTGTGGTTTTGTTTACACTTCTCTAATGACCAACAATGATGGGAAACTTCATTTGATTATTATCATACATCTTTGGTGAAATAGCCCATCAAAAGCGTTTGTTCATTTAAAAGTTGGATTGTCATTCTCGAGTTCTGCTATTTTTTATTAACTTTTGGTACAAATGCTTGATCAAATAGGTAGTGGTGGGAATTTCTCTCATTCTTTGGCTTGACTTTTCATTTTTATAATGGAATTGTCTGAAGTACATTTCCTTCCATATTTAGGTTCTAATCTCTTTCTAATATGTAAATATTAAATGTTGTAAAGTTTTCTCTAAGCATTGCTTTACCCAAAGTCAATTTATTGCTTATAAACTTTTTTAAACTTTTTATTAGCACATTATTTATATCATGGTGCAGCTTTCCTGATTACATTTTCATACATATTAACAATATACTTCAATTATATTCACTTTTTACCTTCTCACTTGCCCCTCTTTGCTTTCACGTAGTTTTTAAAGATTCATTTTTGTTTTTATTTATTGATTTGAGTGTGTGTGTGTTTGTGTGTGTGTGTGTGTGTGTGTGTGTGTGTGTAAATACTATCAAAGTGCAGGTGCACACAGAGACAAGAAAGAGGTGTCAAATCATGTAGAAAAGAAACTGCAAGTTGTTGTGAACCTGCCCATAGTAGTATGCTGGGAATTGAATATGGGTCCTCTGCAAAAATAGCATGTGTTCTTATATGCTGAGCCGTGCTCCAGACACCTTAAGTCAATACATTTTGATGTATAATTTTTGCCTATTCAGTAGGCAAAATAATTTTCTTTGCAATTTCTTTTTTGAAGCAAGGATTATTTTGAACTACGGTGCTTAATTTTCAAGTGTTTGTTGATTTCCCAGATTTCTTTCTTTTATTTAGGCTTTAGTTCTGCTAGGGCTGGCGAACATACTTTGTATGTCAATCTGTTAAATTAATGGAAACCTGTGGTATGGCTTAGCTTATTTTATCCTAAAGATCATTCTGTGTGTACTTCGAGGAATTCATTCCAAGGTTGAGTTAGTTGGTGCTAATGTTCCATAGACAAGCAAGGTTTCTGTTCTCTCAGATGTTTTAGACGTTACTGAAGATGGGGTATTAAAATCACAGTTTTTTTTTGAATTTTGAAAATCAGTTTTTTTGCTATGGTTACATTTCTGTTATTAGGTGAACATACTGTTATTATATTTTTCTTATATAATGATTCATGCCTTAATTAAAGGCTTCTTTTTTAAATAGTATTTTGATATAAATTCCATATTATTTCACTATGGTTATACCTTTTTTCTGTTACTACTTCCATAGTGATTTCCCTTTGTTTTTCCTTTTAGGTGTGTTTTAAATCTAAGGTATATATCATATAGATATTATGTAATTGTATATTGCTCTTGTGATTTCTTTTTCTTTTTGTGTGGTTCTGGAGATCAAGCCCAAGGACTTATGTGTGCATGCTAGCTGAACACTTTGCTATCAAGGTACAGTTCTAACCTCCTTGTCCCTTTTGACTGGTCTCTCTCTCTCTCTCTCTCTCTCTCTCTCTCTCTCTCTCTCTCTCTCTCTCTCTCATTTGTCAAGTTGTCAAGACAGGGTTTCTCTGTGTAGCCATGGCTATCTTGGCACTTTCTCTGTATACCTGGTTGTCTGTCTGGCTTTGCCTCCCACGTGCAGGGATTAAAGGTGTGTGTTATCACCACCACCCAGTGAGGGCTGTCTCCTTATATGCAGTAATTTCTTTGTTAAAATGGACCATTCTTTGCCTTACAGAAGCTTTTCAGTTTCAGGAGGTCTCATTTATTAATTGTCAATCTCAGTGTCTGTGCTACTGGTATTATATTCAGGAAGTAGTTTCCTGTGCCAATGTGTTCAAGGCTACTTCCCACTTTCTGTTCTATCAAGTTCAGTGTGACTGGATTTATGTTGAGGTCTAGATCCACTTGGATTTGAGTTTTGTGCAGGATGATAGTTATGGATCTATTTGCAATCTTCTTCATGTTGACATCCAGTTATGCCAGCACCATTTGTTGAAGATGCTTTCTTTTTTCCATGGTACAGTTTTGGCTTCTTTGTTGAAAATCATATGTTTATAGGTGTGAGGATTAATGCCAGGGTCTGCAATTTGATTCCATTGGTCCACGTGTCATTTTTAAAGCCAATACCAAGCTGTTCTTATTACTATAGCTCTATAGTAGAGCTTGAAGTCAGGGATGGTGATGCCTCCAGAAATTCCTTTATTGTACAGGATTGTTTTAGCTACCCTGGGTTTTTTGTTTTTCCATTTGAAGTTGAGTATTGCTCTTTCAAGGTCTGTGAAGAATTGTGTTGGTATTTTGATGGGGATAGCATTGAATCTATAGATTGCTTTAGGTAAGATTGCCATTTGTATTATGATAATTCTACTTACTCACGAGTAGATGTAAAGCAAAGGATAACCAGGCAACAATCCACAGCTGTAGAGAAATTAGGTAACAAGGAGGACCCTAAGAGGGTTTCATGGATTGACCTAGGAAGGAAAAATAGATGAGATCTCCTGGGTAAACTGGGGGCAAGGGGAGGGGGAAAGATGAGGGGAATGGGAACATGAGGGATCAGGATAGTCAAGTTGGGGGAGGGATAGAGAGGTAGAGCAATGAAAAAGACATCTTGATAGAGGTGGCCAATTATGGGGTTAGGGAGAAACCTGGTGCTAGGGAAAATCCTGGGAATCCACAAGGATGACTCCAGCTAAGACTCATAGCAATAGTGGAGAGAGTGCCTGAACTGGCCTTCTGTAATCAGATTGGGGACTACCCTAATAGTCATCATAGAACCTTCATTCAGTAACTGATAGAAGCAGATGCAGAGGTCCACAGCCAAGCTTTGGGCTGAGCTTCAGGAGTCCTGTTGAAGAGAGGGAGGAAGAATTGTATAAGCCAGAGGGGTCAAGATCAAGATAGGGAAATCCACAGAGACAGCTGACCTGAGCTTGTGTGAGCTCACAAACTCTAGACAAACAGCTAGGGGGCCTGCATGGGACCGACCTGGGACCGACCAAGGCCACTGTCTGTGGGTAACGTTTTATAGCTTGGTCTGTTTTTGGGCCCCTAGCAGTGGGACAAGGATCTGTCCCTGGTGCATGAGCTGGCTTTTTGGAACCTATTCCCTATGCTGGGATGCCTTGATCAGCCTTGATGCAGGGGCAGGAGCTTAGTCCTGCCTCAACTAGATATGCCATGCATTGTTGATTCCCATGGGAGTCCTCACGCTTTCTGAGGAGTGATGGGCAGGAGGTAGAAAGGGGGTGGTGGGAGGGAATGGAAGGAAAGGAGGGAGGGGAAAGTGTGGTTGGTATGTAAAATAAATTAAAAATTAATAATAATAAAAATACAAACAATAAAAAATGAATCATTCACATTCTGTGTCAATCTGTTTTCTGATATTTAGTAGTTAGTCTGTGGAATTAAACACCCATTTCAACTTGTCATTTATTTCAGGTGGGTACTAACAATTCTAGTCCCTCTCTTTCTTTTAGCCTGACTTAATGGTTTTACATCTATTACATATATACCCTACCTAAAGTTCACCTTTGAGTCATGACTCTTAATTGTTTTGTAGAATATCATGTTTTTTTCCATGATAAGAAAAGACATAATTGGTGTTCTTCATTTATTCCTATGGACTTAGAATGTTTCTATTTCTTTGAACTGTGAAGCTGAAATGATGTCTCTTTCAGTGCTAAATCTCTTTTGATAGAACACATTAACAGCCCACACTTTCCTCTAGTGTCCCTGGATTTTACTTTTGTATGCATTTCAGTTTCCACATGTATGTTTAGAACATCATGGTTGGCCAGAAGTACATGGGGTTACTTGGAATGTTGGCTCTGTTGATTATATCCAAAGCCTTGTGAAGGATGTTGCTCATTCTATATGTACAAAAGCTAGGGGCTAACAGAATCAGATAGCTAACTGACAAAGCACAGGGAGCCATAGATGGTCACAGATGAGGGTATGCCCATGCTAGAATGTTACATCATTTTATCATTTAAAACTTAATCTCAGCAGGATGCTGATGCTCAAGTCATTGTGTCCTTATGAGTATTTTTCCAGAGAATGGAGTTTCTGATGACTTTTATCTTTATCATTTTGTCATTTATTTTATTTTGTAATTTATTTCCCCTCTAGAAAAGGACATACTGTTTTCCCTGCTCAACTGTAGCCAGAAGCCTCATTAAGGGACAAGAGAGTAATGGTGATACAAGAAATCATGAAAAATAAAACATAGTTCATCTCATACTCCTGGCTGAAGTGTTTCTGTCAAAACATAGCCAAATATTGACTGATGTCTCGTCATTAATATATGAGCTAGCACCTAACCAAAAGAAATATGGATTTTTCTATTATGGAGTAAAGAAAGTAGCTAGGCAAAGTCAGAAAGTGACACTATATTAAAACATCATTTCACACTTCAATTCTGCCATGCAGCATTTAGAAAAGTATATGTTTGGGTAATTTAGGGCTAGCTTAATATTGAAAAAAAAATGACTTGGTTAGAGTGAGGGCCAGATAAAAACTGACTTGTGGACCAATGGAATCGAATTAAAGACCCTGACATTAATCCACACATCTATGAACATATGATTTTCAACAAAGAAACCAAAACTGTATCATGGAAAAAAGAAAGCATCTTCAACAAATCGTGCTGGCATAACTGGATGTGAACATGAAGAAGACTGCAAATAGAACCATATCTGTTACCATGCACAAAACTCAAGTCCAAGTGGATCAAAGACCTCAACACAAACCCAGTTACACTGAACTTGATAGAAGAGAAAGTAGGAAGTAGTCTGGAATGAATTGGCACAGGAGAGCACTTCCTAAGTATAATACCAGTAGCACAGACACTGAGAACAACAATTAATAAATGGGACATCTGAAACTGAGAAGCAAAGGACACGGTCAATAAGACAAAGCGACAGCCTACAGAATGGGAAAAGATCTTCACTAACCCCACATCTGACAGAGGGCTGATCCCCAAATATATAAAGAACTCAAAAATCTAGACATCAACATACTGAACAATCCAATTAAAAAAACGGGCTACAGAGCTTAACAGAGAATTCTCAACAGAAGAATATCAAATGGCTGAAGGACATTTAAGGAATTGCTCAACATCCTTAGTCATCAGGGAAATGCAAATCAAAACAACTTTGAGATACCATCTTATACCTGTCAGAATGGCTAAGATCAAAAACACTGAAGACAGCTTATGTTGGAGAGAATGTGGAGCAAGGGGAACATTCCTCCACTGTTGGTGGGAATGCAAACTTGTACAACCACTCTGGAAATCAGTATGGTGGTTTCTCAGAAAAATGGGAATAAGTCTTCCTCAAGACCCAATTATATCACTCTTGGGCATATACCCAAGGAATGTTCAATCTTACCACAAGGACACATGCTCAACTATGTTCATATCAGCATTATTTGTAATAACAAGAACCTGGAAACAACCTAGATGTCCCTCGACTGAAGAATGGATAAAGAAAATATGGCACATATACACAATGGAGTACTACTCAGCAGTAAAAAACAATGATATCATAAAAATTGCAGGCAAATGGATGGAACTAGAAAATATCATCTTGAGTGAGGTAACCCAGACTCAGAAGGACAAACATAGTATGTACTCACTTATAAGTGGATACTAAATGTGAGGGAAGGGATGACCAGACTGCAACCCAAAATCCAGAGAGGCTAACTAACAGGGAAAGACCCTAGAAGGTACACATGGATGACCCTGTGAAGGAGAAGTGGACTACATGAGTGGACTGGGTGTGGGGTGGTGGTGACAGAAGGCGAGGAGTAGGGGATGAGAACATAGGGAAATGGGAGGGTCAAGCTGGAACAGGGACAGAGTGGGAGGGCAGGGAGGAAAATACCATGATAGATGAGGAGATCATGGGAATAGGAAGAGGCAGGGTTTTGGGGAGGCTCTCAGGAATCCACAAGGTTGACCCCACCTTGGTCTGCTGGCAGTGGTCCAGAGGGTGGCTGGACAAGTCTACTCTGGTGATCAGCCTAGCAAATAACCTAGCTGTCATCATAGAGCCTTTGTCCAGTGACAGATGGAGGCAGATACAGAGATCCATGGCCAGGCACCAGGCTAAGCTCTGGAAATCCAATTGATGAGAGAGGAGATACTGCAGGTGAGGGACGTTGAGATCATGATGGGAGGACGTGCAAAGATGACCGGCCATACTAGTGGAAGCCCATGAACTGTGGACTGGTGGCTGTGGATCCCCCATGGGACTGGACTAGGCCCTCTGGATACGGAAGACAGTTGTTTGGCTCGAACTGTTTGGGGGTCACCCAGGCAGGGTGATCAGGATCTGTCCCTGGTCTATGGGCAGGCTTCTGGAATCTGGTTCCCGTGGTGTGACACCTTGCACAGCCTTGGTGCAGTGGGAAGGGGCTTGGACCTGCCTAGGCTCAGTGTGCTGGGCTCTGCTGACTCCCCATGGGAGACCTCGATTTGGGGGATGTGGGGATGCGGGGTGGCTTGGGAAAGAGGACTGGAGGTGGGAGGAGGGGGGATCTGTGGATAGTATGTGGAGTGAGTAGAAAATTTCTTAATAAAGAAAATTAAAGAAAAAAAGAATTACAATGTCAAAAAAAAATGAGGGCCAGATTAGTCATTATCAATTTAATGCTATCAGAATTTATGGATTGTTTTAGTGACTGGACTTGGGTAATATGTAGGAAGGCTTTCTCTTGATAAATGACCTATCTTGCCTTTTCAGTGGATTTAAACTCTCTTTGAGAGAGATCTTGTCCTAATTTTCTTATCTACCTGTTAGGGATACCTTGATAATTAAGATTTAATTTATAATTTAGTGCTTCAGTAAACCTCTCAGATGATGTACAATTCTACCAATAATGTGTGACATGGAAAGCATTTACCTTTTAGGAAGTAGGGCAAAATTATTTATTTTTTGAAAAGCAAGCTACAATGAGTGTTTTGAGAAGTTAATTAGGCTTTAGTTTACTTTGATTAAAAGTTGATAATATTTAAAACTATCTTTCATAATACACACAATAGCACAACATTTACAGAAATGGACATTTGAAATTTGCAATAAAACTCAGACGTTTCAATGCTTAGTAAAGAAGAATGAAATTTACACACAAACCAAGGAGGCTATTTTATAAAAGGGATGAAATACAAATACTGATCCTTTGGGACTAGGTTCTATAGTGATAATGCTGCTAGAAGTGGGAATATCAAAAATTGGAAATGTGTTTATATTGTAATTCTACCTCCCATCCCCTTTGATTGGGCACTTCCTCCACTTGTTCTTGTCCAGCATCATAGAAGAGTGTGGCCCAGGAAAAGACCACAATTCAGAGTTTAAGATATGACTTCCATTGCCTATGCATTCCTTTTTCATCACTATAAAATAATAAAGAATAAGTTGAAATACAGTAGTTTGAAGATCAATATTATAAAGGGTATGAAAAGTGAAGAAAGAATCCTTTAGGTCTGGTTATTAGAAAACATGTGATAAAGCTGTAATTGTTTTATCTTGCTTAAACCACCAGTGTGTGAGAGACTACTATACCCTCATGCTAGTTTAGAAAGCAGAAGGGAAACATGAACACTTTCCAAGTGAAAGGCTAATGCTGCTTTATGGATATAGTATGGCTTCTCCTTTGTCATGATAAATAAAGAGCAATTCAGATAGCCTTGTTATGGCAACAAGCCAACCTTTGTTATATCTAACAGGTTACTTAGCCTTTTCCAGTAATCTGCCTATTAGAAGAATAGGGCTGACAATCCCTCTTTCTGTTGTTTGGTATTAGTTATCTATTGCTACCACAAACATACAGACTTTAAATGCCACAAATTAACATTCTGTTTCAGCTCTAACAAGAACAAGGATTGAAAAACGTTACTTCAGTCCAAACAACGAGAAAAAAAATGCTGGATAAAATAGAAGTAAACTTTTCTTAGTTCTGTCAGAGAACGGATATGTATGGCAAATGGGCCACTTGGAAGTCTGAAGTGACAGGTAAATACAGAGGGTGGTTAATATATTGTAGGTGAAATTCTAATAAGTCTTATTAAATAAGGAACACAGAGCCAAATACAGAGTTAAAGCCAAGAGATCAGAGGAAGAGCCCCCTACTACCTTATCTGACCATCTCGCCGCCGCCATTGCTTCCCCCAGAGAGAGAAACCTCCTGTGTGACCTGTTTTTTTTATTGCCTTCCTGTTCTGCCTTCTCATTGGCTCTAAACCTAACCACATGGCTTCCTCATCACTGCCTGTCTATACAGACCTCCAGGTCTGTATGGTTGGTACTAGGATTAAAAGTTCAGGTCACCTTGCTTGGCTATGTCCTTGACCACACAGAGACTCTACCTGTCATGTGATTGGATTAAGGGTGTGTGCTACCACTGCTTGACTTCTGCTTAATGACTATGACCTCTGATCTCTAGGCAACTTAATTAACAAACAAATAAAATCACATTTCAGCACAAATAAAATATCACTAATATATGCTTATGACTAGAATAGATGTGACTACAGCTGTATGTTTTCAAGAATCCTTATGTTGTAATTTTGATGAATGACTAAAGGTTGAATGTAGAATGTGAGGGAGAAATTTGTTCTTTAGAAGGATGTTTACATTTCCTACTTTTTATCTGCATAGAGCCCACCAAATTCTTATGGTGATGACTTAAGTCTGATCTTTGAGGAAAAGACATCTTGTGAATTACAGGCAAAACCTTATCCAAGACAGAGACATAGTTAGTCTCCAATATGAACCCTTTACAAGAGATGTGTACTGGGACTGTGTATGTGTGTAAAGACATCTCAGCACAGCCCTTCCTCTCTTCCGTTGGTGTCTAAGAGAGAAGAAGGTAAAAGCAGAAACATTTATGCATGTCATTGCTCAGGAACAATGGTCAACAAACCTACATATTTTATTTGGAGATTATGTAATGCCCCTTTCTACACCTTAACAAGACTCCAACAGTGGGCCTTCAGGATGGATTGTTTCCAAAACAAATGAGAGATTCAGGGGCTGTGCCTGAGAAATAGTTTAGGAAAACACAAATTTCGGAAGGGAGATAAGAACCCAGACACTAATTTCTGGGTCCTATAGATCTGGCAAATATTAGCTCCCTTACTAGGGAGATTAACATAAATCTTCCCATTAGAGGACCATTTGCCTTAGTTCCTATTGACCTGTACCACATATTTGGTTTTCAACAAATGATCACCAGGGATATGCAAGAGAAGAAAAGGTCAGACCAGACAAAGGGAACATCAAAATTAGATACAGATATGATACCAATGTGAAAATTGACTGGAAATTTAAAAATACAATCATTATGTTAAGGGGATATAATTAAAATTAGAAAATGTGAGAATATATAGATAGAGTGATCAGAAATAGAAATTCTAAAAAAATGTAAATGTTGAGAATAAAAAGCATATAAACAGAGACACAGATCTTCGACGAGTCTATGAGAAGACAGAGTATAGCTAAAGGACAAAACAGTGCTAACTCTATACAAAGTTTCCAAATTGAAATGAAAGGAGTTTAAAAAAAAAAGCTAGCAGAAGAGCAGTGAAAAGCCTTGGAAAATGCCCTGTAACATGTACAATTAGCCTAACAAACAGAGCAGAAAGGCAAAGAGGAAACACTTGAAGAAATGATGTGAGAGTCCTTTCTAAAATAGACAAGAGGCTCCAATTCACTCATCCAAAAAGTTCCTGAATGCTCAGAAAAAATGTGCACTAAAAACCAACCACTCTAACAATAAACCACAGATGATACCTAAGAACAAATTGCAGCGAATCACAGGCAAAAAGAATTTACTGAAGCCAGCGGGAGAAAATAACAACAAAATGAATCCAGCTCACCACGAGAGGGATAAGAGTGAGAACGTCATTGGGCTATTCTTCAGAACCCACATGAGCTGTGACAAAAGACAAAAAAGTTAAGGGAGGGTAGACTTATTTGGGGACAGCTTTAGGGGTTTCAGTCCCTTGCAATGGGAGAATGGGACAGAAAAGGGCAGTTCATCGCTGGGAAGGAGAGAGAGAGAGGAGAAAACTGCACACAGGAGACAATGTGCCTACACTAAGAGATTTTCTTCTTTTCTCCCCGTATTCAGCCCTAGACCCCAGCCTATGGGATGATGCATCCTACACTCCTGGCAGTTCTGCCTTTCCTTAATATTCTCCTATTTGTGGGTAGGTATTGTTTAAATCTGGTTTTGTCTTGGAATGTCTTGTTCACTCCATCTATGATGATAATTTTAGCCAAAGTCTGTGGGAATTGACTTTCACCAGAAATATCCCTATAGAAGATGCTAAAAGCTGCTTTGCAGTCAGTACTACAATAAAATGAAATATCAGAAACTGGGGTCTTCATGAAGAAAGAGCATCAGAAGAGGGAACAAATAATGATAAAATAAAAATCTTTTTTTTATATTTTAATAAATTTTCTTTATTGTTTTAACAGATTTCTTATTGTACATGACACTTATTAATATGATATTTTTACATTTTATTATTACTGTTTAGAATAAATTTTATGGGAATTTCATTTGTGTGCACAATTGGTTTTGATCATATTCAGTTCCCACTCCTCCCTCCCTCCCCCAAGATTCTTCCTCTTTCTCTACTTCACATCTTCTTCTTTCGTCTTTTTGTTATAAGCTACTGGTTTCAAATAGTGCTGTGCATGGTCTCATGGGTGTGGAGCCATGAGGAGGGCATGGTCAACCGACAGCGAACACACGCCTAAAGAAAACGTCTCTCCCTTTTCTTAAACAAGTTAAGATAACAGCAGTGACAGTGAACCAGGCCATTATTTCATATGGATCAGTGAAACATCTTATGGAATGGGAGAGAGGAAATAAGACACCATTCGGTGAGTGCTGCAGCACTCCGGGGGGGGGGGGCAGGGGAGTGTTGCCTGAGAGTCAACAAACGCTAGAAAGCTTGATGGCGACCATGAAAACAACTTTTACAGTATAAATACAAGCCAAGAGAGAAAGGCTATCCTTGTTTCTTTAATAAGTGGACTTTTTCATACACAGCTCAGCGCATATCAATCTTGCTTTATTACTGCCACCAAGAGAGATGAGCTACTGAAGTGCTGGAAAGGACAATAATGTAGCACACTCATGGATGTGACTTCCCCTTGGTTTAGTTACACTCATTAGAATCCAGCCACATTCTCACTCACGAAAGGGAGAGTTATGGACGGGCTTCCCATTTCTCTCTATTATAGTCATGTTTGAGGAGCATTTTTTAATGGAGTGTGAGAACATATCAGGTTGATAGTGAAGAGCCTGACCTACTTCAATGCTTTAAACTATTTTCCTTTCTTTAATCCCTTTTCAATTTCTTTCTTTTTTTCCTTCCCAGGTCCTATGCCTCCCTTTTATAGAGAAGATAGGACAGGATACTGACTTTAAATCAGCTGGGATGCATTTCCATCCATACTGGATTCATCTATATTTAAATCATTGTTTCCATCTCTTTTCTATGCCTTAGATAGAAGGAAATATTTTTTCCCTTTCACATGACATGCACTCCACTTCTCTTTGAACTGTCTAGTTCTTGCTTCATTAGTCTGCTAACATGACAATTTTACATACAAACTTCTCCCTACTATCTGTGTATTTTCCCACTTGTCACTTGTATTTAAGTTTAAAAATGCCTTGAATATGCTTATTTCATTTTCTTGCTATCCACTTCTCAACCTAGAACAACTTATGTATTAAGACCAGACATTGTTTTTCAGTTGCTAGATCTACTATTGATTCTGGTACTAATAAACCAATTTCCCCCTTATTATCTCTTGCCTAGAATTTCATAACACTATCCCAAGTATTTTCCCATTTCTCATTTCAAACTATTCCCCAGTAGCTTTATTCTGTCTCCTGCCTCCCTGAAGCTATTTAACATCTTACTGATTAGAAGTTAGAAGTAGCTCATGAATTGTGAAATATTCGTGATTAGAAAACAACTACCAAAATTATTCCACAGTTGTAGGCATGGTGTATTTTTTTCCTCCTTGGTGCTCACTGGACACTGTAGCTTCTCTAATAAGGAGGATTTTATGTTGGTACATAATAAAATTTTTATTCTCCTAGCTCTGAAGCTCGCTAGCTGTATCAGCTCAGGTAACTATTAATTTTTCAAATCCTTAGTCTTTCATCAGTAAAGTAAAATATTTAACTTATTTGATCTTAAAGGAGGCTTTGCCACTCTTAAAAAATACAGCTATGTAATACTGAATAAACCTTTTCTATTGATACTGACAGCTAATATTTCCTTTTGTCCAAATCAATGACGAGCCTATAGATTGCTCTGGTTAGTCTTTGTGAACTTGACATGAGTTAGACATACCTGGAAAGAGAGAGTCTCAGCTGAAGAACTGCCTTCCTCAGACTGACCTGTCCGTGGGGACATTGTCTTGATTTCTGATGGGATGATTGGGGATGTCCTAGACTATTACTGTGGCCAGTGTCATCCCTAGGTAGATAGGACTGAGCTGTAGAAGAGAGGTAGCTGAGCAAGCCGGGGAAGCAAGCCAGTTATCAGCATTCCCCCATGATATCTGCTTCAGTTTCCAGCTTCAGAGTTCTGCCTTCATTTCCTTCAATGACAGACTATAGTCTATGAATCCAATAGCCATTTCCTCCCTGAAGTTGGTTTTCATCAGTGTTTATCACACCAACCAAAGGCAAATCCAAGACAAAGGTTGTAAGTTAACTATATAAGTGCAAAACCCATAACCCCGATTCATCAGGTAGCCCTCTGCTACACTGATGTATACCATTTTCTACTAAATTAGAGGCACCAGTTATTATTCACAAAGAAATATTAATCTTAAAGCAACACATTTCCCTTTATTTCAGACTACTATTGAGAGTTTAAAGGAGCTGTACAGACATAATCTTCTGTCAGTTGGAAGAGAATCTTACTAATCCACCCGACACTAGTTCATTTAAGTCATCTTTTTATGAGCAATAGAGAGGAAAGCTGTCAGAAAATTCCTATCATAACTGAAATGTAGCTGCCAACATTTATTCTTCATACTGTCAGATGGAGAGAAGCTTATTCTGAGTGTGCCAAATATACTTTCAGCATTCTTGACTTTTCAAGTACAGTATGGTTATTTGCTTTAAAAGAAGTATAGTAGGTCTCGACAGTCTTAAGGTATGGCTGTCTGTGACAATGGTAATATAGGCCCCTAGGGCCATAAAGAACCTGGGAGTGTATTTCTTGGCCTTATCTGGTGTGGTAATCATCAGAACAACCTGGATAACTCGGCAAAGAGTCGGAAAAACACCGATGTTAGAGATAAGTGCTAATTGATTTCCTCATTCACTCATGAATTATTAAGTAGCTCAGAGCTAACACAGTATAATTTGAAAAGAAATCCTTTCCTCCAGATAATCGATGTTCATCAGCTTGAACACTGTTGTAGCACATCTGTGAAATTATAAGGACCACAAGATAAATTTGCCTCCTTTATTGTGTGGTGCACGATCTGTCCAACGCTGGCAACAATGAAGAGCAAACATGCCCATATTCTCATAGAGCAGGACAAAAATGAAGATATGTGAAGAAATACTTATACCATATCATAAGTAATTGGAAAATGGAAACGCACCTAAACATAACTGATGGGGAGTTATTAAAGAATTCCTCTTTGACCAGTGGTTATTGATAGTGAGATCTCATGGTTGAGAAATTGGTCATGTCAGAAGAGTGGGAAATGCAGAGAGAGAGAGAGAGAGAGAGAGAGAGAGAGAGAGAGAGAGAGAGAGAGAGAGAAAGAGAGAGAGAGAGAGCTGTATATTAGTCTATTTGTGTTTTTATAACAATACTGGATATTGGTTTTCCATGTGTCAGTATACACTCATTTCTTATGGTTCTTTCCAGAGTTTTCTGGATCCTCTGAAAGCTACTCACTGAAGGCTTGAGAAACAGAATTTTTTAAGGTAAGACCCAATAAAGCTAGGTCATTGGGTCATATTTTTGGAGGGACTTGTTACTGTTTGGACATAAAATGTCCTGAAAAGGCTCATGTGTTGAATGCTAGATCCTTAGTGCAGTAGTTTTCTCAGGTATCTGCATCATTATGGTTGCAACTTCATGAAGCAATCTATAATGGCTTTGTAGTTAAATGGGCATTAGGAAGTGTTAGGGACTCTAGGGGATGAGACTTCATTGGAGGAAACAGCTTCTGGGAACATGTCTTTGGCAACTCTTTCTTTTCCTGCCATCTCCTCTGTTTCCCCATGTCTGTAAGGTGAATGGCTTTGCTCACCCAACTTTGTACAGTCACAACTTTGCTCAGTCACACCTTCCTTGCCATAATATTGAGGTTCACTGTAGGATCAAAGCAGCAGGGACAGGAGCCGAAACCGGAAACTGTGAAGTTACATTCTTGTCTCCTTGGGTGTTTTGCCACATTGGCATAAAGCTAACCAGCACAGAGAGATTGGAACATGGCTCTCTTGCTCACTTCCAACCCACAGGGAGGTGGGCAGTATTCTTTGCAATATACTCAACCATGATTTTCTGTGCTGTCACAGTTTCAAGCAACAGTGTCAAATGAATGTGGGCTGAAACCTTGAAACCATAAGCAAAGGAGACCTCCCTTATAAGATTTAGTTAAAATATTTTGTCTCAGCAATGGTAAGCTAACACAGCTCTAGAGGGAAGGAATTCCAAAATGAAGGCACCAATGGATTTGGTGCTTGATGAAGGACTGATTCCTAATATGTAGAATTGTGGTCTTAGTGTGTCCTCATATGGAGGTAAGGCTCAGCCTATATACTGGGAGCCTGTTCTACACTGGCACTAACCCTGTTAACGAGGGTTTCTTTCTTATGTTCCAAATGCCTTGCAATAATATCACACTGGGAACTGAGCTTCATTGTGGAATTTTGGGGAATACAAAGTCATTCATTCGACGACTATAAGCTGCTGACACACTGAGATATGTGAGGAACTCAACAAAGAATCAGCTAACTTTATAGGAAGCCAGAGAGAGATTAGATTATGTGAAAACAGCTATATGCAAGAATGAGGAAAAGGTTTTAAACATCACCCACACATCACCACAAAAGGACACTAGCTACAGGTGAATATTCCTGAAGGTTATTCTGTGGTATTAGGAACCACTGGTCATAACCAAAAGCCAGATAGAAAAAAGCAACTACAGTCATATCCGTATTATACAAACTCCAGGCCTCAATACTGTTTGAAGACACCAATGAAAGATGACTGAAAACATCACAAACATCTCTTGGACATGCTCTGTTATTCACATGATCTCCACCAAGTCTGGCTTGGCCTGGGGATATGGTCGACACTGTGTCTACAGGTAGCAGTATTTGCACATATCTGAAACAGAGTCCCAGGAGTTAAAATGTATTATTCAACTGCTCATGGGAGATCTTATCTCCTTTCTCTGTCCCACCCCTTGTAGCATCCTTTCCCACAACACTACACACTTTTATACTCTGTAAGACACCTTCAAGTTCACTGTGGCTACCTAAAACAATGACACTGGAATGTTTCACTCAATGCCACACATAATTTGTTAGCCACTGCATTTATATGAAAAGGGGATATTGATATAAAGATATTTGAAGCATTTTTTTAAAATGATGAGATGGTGAATCATTTAATTTTACTCAGTAGATTTTCTAGAATTTCAAAATATATTGTGTTCAATGTATTCTCACTCCTTCCATGGAACCAAATATCACAAAAATACGATGCTCTATTCTTTGAAAATAAAACATCTCCCCCCCCCCAGTAAGTGAGTGGACTATATTATATTTCTACAATGCAATCAAGTATTTTTAGAAGTTTAAATGGAAAACAAAATATAGAAGGGCCAACATAAATAAATGTCAAAGCCATAGTTTTGAAATGATCAAAGTTTATGTAGCTATGGTATAATAGTTTGTATAATATAACACAAATAATTTGTTCATAAAATTCTATAGTATATAAGTAGTCTAGAGACATTAATGTAAAGAAATACACTCCAAAGATACTGATTAGTTTAAAAAACATTATGGTTCCATCAGGGGTGAATGATAAAGAGAAATTGATGAAGGAATAGCTTTAGTTACATCTATAAATTTCATTTCTTTTAAAACAGATCCAACAAATATGAAAAAAAAAACTCACTTAGTCTTGTTCTCTTTATACTGTTCTGTATTTTAATATATTAAGGAAAAATGCATGTAAGTTTCATGTTAAACTGCAAAGTGCCATGACCATGTGTGATATCATATTGATACCTTAGAGCATATTAGATCAATCTAAAATTTTTAGTACTAAATAGCACACATAGACTGATAAAGACCTAAAACATAATTTACCAAGTAGGTGCTAACTTAATCTACAAAATCACCACTCATGTTAAGAATAGAACATTACACTAGCTAAAAGCAAAATGGAATGTTTCCTCTGTTCTTAACCTTCATGTAACTGAGATGACACTCATCATCAGTATTTTCAGGCTTGTTACTGCTTTAGTTAGTTTTGTGTAAGATTATTCTTGGTGTTGCTTTTACTTACAATAGCTTGAATTTTTTTTTGTCCATTAGTGTTTATCTGTGTATCCATTCGTAGACATCTGATTCACTTCCAGCTTGAGCTGCTGGGGATGCACTGCCCTGCAGTTTGACACAGTGTGTAAGTATATGCCTCTAGGTGTCTCTGTAATGGCTAGTTTTAATTGTAAACTTGATTAGACCTACAAATGCTTGGGTGAAGCACACCTTTGTAGACATTAGGTGAGGGTATTTCTGGAGATGACTGATGGAGGGAGGGGAACTCACCTAACTATGGGCAGTTATAATTCAGAGCCCCTGGATCCAGGCCCCACATTGAATAAAAATGGAGAAAGGAGAAAACCAGCTGCATGGCAACATTCACCTTCGTTACTTTCTGTCCCTCCTACAATGTGAGGCAGTGGGAGGTCCCAGTTGCACGCCTCCCCTGCCATGTCTCCTCTTAGAGAGACGAAATACATCTCTTCTCACTGAAGTTGCTTGTTCTCAGGTATTTGTTCAGAACTGTGAGAAAAGTAGGCAGCATAGTGCACATGAGGAAAGCTTACCTAAGGCGAGTACTTAGGATAAAGTGGAGCATAGCAAATGCTTCCTTTAAATCCCGCTGTCACATCAGGCTGTCTTCCTCACTGCTGCGAAGAGTTCACATCCCTGTCTGTCACAGCTCCAGATCTCTGTCTTCACCAACACTGACAGTGTGAACATTTTCCGTGACCAAATTTCAAAAGTTTCAGTCACTTGAATTTCTGCCCTTTAATGTTCCTGTACATGCCTTTGCCCATTTTTTTCTTTTAGATTTTCTTTATTGGTAAAATATTTTTAACATTGTGACTACTATGTTTTTGTTATCCTTAATTTTCTCAGTGTATAGTTTAACTTCATGAATGATCAACTCTTGATTCCCATCTCTTAAATTTATCCTGTTAAAAATGGTCCATAATTTTCCTGTCCAGAAAGTCTTTTCATAGTGATGTCATGGAGTCATTTGCCTGTATTGCCCGCCAAATACTTCATAGATAGCACCTGTGCCACTTAATTCTACTTTTGATGCATTTTAAATGGACCCATTTCAAATGTTTTTTCTGTTTCTAATCTACCATGTTCTAAAACAAAAACCCCAGCAAATAGTAGGAACGTATTTATATTATCTCAGTGATGTATTGGTTTGTATATTCATGTATATGTATAAATAGTAAAATATTCACAGTCATCTCAGTGATGTGTGTATTTGTGTATATGCATGGATGTAAGAGCTAGAATAATATGTAAATTCAACTTTGCTAATTTGAATATATTCTGGAGGGAATGAGAAAGCAAAATACATTTCAAATAAGTAAGAAAGATATGTGTCTGAATTTATTAGTGTGGTCTGCTTGCTCTAACATTTAACTGTTATTAACCAAAACGTAAGAGTGTGAGTAAAGCATCCCAAGAGAGGAAGGATGGATAGTGATACAGGAGAGGCTGAAAAGGAGGAAATGTATGTATGGAAAACACAGTTAATGCTTGTATTTTTTTCTTGGTGACGAGTATGAATGAAAATATAGACAATTGCAAATAGATAAAATATTTATGTTATATTAGTGATGTGTGTTTGTATATACATGTGTATAAATAGTAGACAAAATATTCAGAGTAATCTCAATGATGTGTGTGTTTGTATATATGCATGTGTGTGTAAACAGTATATGAAATATGCAATTATCTCAGTGAGTATGTGTGTGTGTATATATGCATGTGCATGCACACACAGGAACTCATGCTCACACAAGTTCAATGTGGAAGTCAAATTTTATTGCTGTGCTTAGTATCTGGAGTGTAAGTCAAGCAAAATGTTAAACAATACAAAAATATGACACAGGGATTTGTTTCACTGTACTGTTTGGAATTGATATGTGTCTGCTTGCAGCTTCACGCTTAGCATTGGTGAAGCTTGCAGGCTGGATACTCTTGAGCCTCTTACAACCCAGGGATAGGACAAGTGCTATGCCAACCTGCAGGATTCCAGCCCTTGTGTTTCCCATTAGGATTTCAACTACATGCAAAAGGAACACAAAAGCAGTTGAGTTATCAGTAATTCAATTGTGCTAAAATATTTCAAGTTCTAGCCACAGTAAATTAGAAAACAGAACTTACCAATGTAACTTTATTCATGAGTGAATGACAGGCCTATGAACTGATATATTTTCAAATACAAAAATCTTAGAGAAGATATGTGAACCAAATAATGACAGATTGTTCCTATTTTTGAGTTGATGAACCACAGGTGGTTTTCCTGTGTTTGAAAATTCTAAAATAAATAACATTTAAAGCTGCGTTTTAAGGAAATTATGTACTAAGAGATTTGAATGACAGCTACTGAGATAGGCCAACTACTTATTAAACAAGCTCACAACTTCATCTCTGCCATTTAAACATCTAATGATCTTTAAATACATTGAGCCTCACTGCTCTAGTGTGATACAGGGAACACTGTGAAATATAAATGTTATTCAAGGCAAGTTTACACAGATAAGGAATTGTGGGACTTGAAAGCTTGGACCACGTTTACTCCAGTCTACTCTTTATAAACCACTAGTGTCTTAATTTTCTTTCTGCTGATATTATGAAATATCATGACCAAAATATAACTTAGAGTAAAGGGGTTTGTTTTATTTTATACATCCCGATCATGGGCCACCATAGAGAGAAGGCAAGGGAGGAAGCAAGCAGGAGCAGAGGTAGGAAGTGAAGCAGAAACCATGGAGGAACACTGCTCACTGGCTCGCTCTCCATGGCTTCCTCATTCTGTTCTCCTATACAACTCATGACCACCTGCCCAGGGTGGCACCACTCACAGCAGGAGGGACCCTCCCACCTAAATGATTAATCAAGAAAAAGCCCTATAAACCTGTCTACACACTGATCTGTTAGAGGCATGTTCTCAATTGAGGTTCCTTCTCAGATGTCTCTAGCTTGTGTCAAGTTGACAAAAATAAACAAAACTAATCAATATACATATTCAAGATTGTAGAATGTCCTTATGTTAAATGTGATGCAACATAAATGTTTGCATGCTCCCTACAGTGACTGCGAAGGCTGTTGCTGGTGGGGATGGACTCACTTACCAGCCATGATGGATGAGCCAAATGTGTTGATAATTTTAAGTAACATTCAATTCTCCAATCTTTAAGTTCAGTGAAAAAAGATTTTCCAAATATAGGAGTGGCAAGAAAGCATGTACTATAAAGAAGTAACTTTGGCAGACTCACCTGGGGGGTACTTTCTTGGAGAAGGAAGTTTCCATAGGATACAAAGTATTTTTGACGTGGAAATAACTTAACTCTGTAGAGCTGTCAGTGTTTCTCATGGGGATTTTTTTCTATCAAGATAAATCATAGTTTTATCTCTTCCCCTCCCTGGTTTTAAAGTGAAGGTTTTAAAAGCAGCAAGTAGCTGGTGATTAGAAAAGCAATGAACTTGCTGTAGGTTGGTTTTAACAGTAAGAAAAATACACAAAACTTCTGCACGGTTTATCTTAAAATACACACAGTTTGGAAATAAGTAAGGCTTTGTGGACAGATGTCTGCTTGAGATGCCCACCTTTGCTATTGCTGGCTGTGTGACTGGACACTGTTAGTAAACTTCTCTGCCCCCGCTTCTCCATTTTTTTCAGATAAAAGAGGCTTATAACAGAACCTCCTGTGTAGTGCTTGTATGAGGACCACAAAAGATAGATCCTGTAAAATTCCTTGGCAAAAAGCTGACAGTGTCAATTAATACTAGTATATATTAGTGTTAGTATTATTTCCTTCAACTTTATGTCAATTTATGGTATCAAATTCACTCACTAAATGACTATTAATCGCCAGACAACGCACTGAGTTTCAAATTTCTTGACAGTTTGGAGCAGTGGTTATCAATGGCTCTTCAGGAAGTGCGCATCAGGGTCTGTTCCCTCTGTCTCCCTTGGCAACAGGAAGTTTATCTGGGATGCTGTGTTCATGTATGCATCCACACATGCCAGATCAAGTCTCTTGTGTACAATCTGAGTCACAAGATTCGTGCATGCAGCCCATGGGGGATGCTGGCAAGAGCACGGAAGAGTAGTCACTCAGTTTGGAAGCACTCCCATTTCCCCTTGCCTCCTTTTCCGCTGTTCTTACCTGGAAAGGGCATTGAAAATGATACTTTGGAACCTGAAATAATCTTAAAATGGAAGCTGGAACTGAAAATAACAGCAGAAAGAAGAGACCTGGGGCTCTGAGGTTTGGGCAGAACTTCTGTGTAGATAGGTACCGCCTACCTCCTAATTTCTAGAGAACAATGGGAAAAATGTCAATTTTCTCTGCATTCAAGCATGGGTCTTCTCAAGTTTTGGAGTTTTAATGGTTTTCATACACAAAATTTTCAAAATATAGGTCCTGGATTTAAGAATTTTTCATTTTGTAGGTCTTGGTCAGGGGTAGCTAGATTTGGGACAACTCTAATTGCGTAATGAGGATTTTATTCCAGGAGTGTGTTACCTTTATAACTTCTGTTTCTCATCTCCAGCAGACACACCCCTGTGAAGTGGAAGAAGGGACAGTAGAAGGATGTGGTCTGCAGGCACTTGTGAGGCATTTGCTAAAGGAGGAAAACACTCCAAATGCTTCTTTCATCATCACTGCGGGAAGTTGTATTTCATAATGAAAATTCATCCTTGGAGGAAAAGAAGCATCGGAGGGATTTTTTAAAGTTTTATGAGATTTAAGTTTGGCAGTGAAGAAAAATAAGTTATCTTTTCCCAAAGTGGTAGAAAGAGACACTCAAGTCTAACACTCATTGGAAGAAGTAAAACTTTGACAAATAATTTCCTTTAATGCCCTTAGTTTGTGATGATTAATGGAGCCAGAGGACAAACTGGCTAAGTCTCTCTGATGTGATAGTAGTGTATACTAAATCAAAATAAACTTAAAATCCAACTTGCCAAAAATCAGTGCTTAAGGCCTGCACATGTTAAGTAGAAGAAAATAGCCATTTGTGGTCCAGTGGAAGAATACTTCTAAAAACCATTTGCACATAAATATTCTTGATAGGAAACACAGAATATATCCTACTAGCCAGCACTGCACATGAATGTGATAAATGAACTTAAGAAGTCACCT